TCCATATCTTGACCTTTTTAAGTCCAAAGTGAATTCCAATTCTCAAATGAATTTCGAATAAATTTACCAAATAAATTTCGAATAGGATTTCACATAACATTCCAAATACACCCAAATTCTAACAATATGCCTTTCTAAGAAGGTGTCTGTTTCTGCTTTTCAGCAGAAATGAACCCGTTGGCAGCAGAAATATTGCCATTGAGAGCCACAATTTTGGACCACTTCTCTCACTGTAGATCGGTGGTTTGAAAACAAACAGTACAATAATCAATTTTTCATCCCTGTTGCAGCGCGGCCAGACAGGCCCTAAATATGGTTGCAATATCTTCTTATAAACAAATTAGAAAAATGGTAGAAATTACTGATAATTTGCCTTAACGAGATCCAAGCATAACTTGAATCATATATTAAGATTTTTAAGATACATACCATCACTTTACGTTGATTTATTGTCGCACAATCGCCTAGAGCATAGATGTCTTTGCACCCTTCACCTCAAAGCGTACTAAAACTCCCCTATTAGATTGTGTTCCAAGAGATAGAAGCTACCCTCAGTAGTTATTTTATGGAGAGTCAAATGAGGAATGCTTGGGACTTTGGATTAAAATTTCTAGGAAATAACGAACCCGACCAATTTGCTTCAAAAAATCTATCACCACTGGACGAGTTCTAATACTAGTCGACCAGATGACCAGATATTGCTTTATCACTTATGAAAGTACGAAGTTCGACTCAAACTATACCTAGAGGGGGGGTGAATAGGTGTAAATGCGAAATTAATAAATTATAATAAATTAGCAACAAGTCACTAATTGATTATTTTTAGATGATTATGCAATCAATTCAATTAACCTATGTTTGAATACCGCAGAATATAAAAACAGTAAATAAAGCAATAAATAGCGCACTGTATAATCACGGAGAAACCCGAACTAGGTAAAAATTATGGGCACTTTGCTAGTAAACAATCTACTATAAACAATTTATAACTTACAGTCTACTAGATTAGATGACGACACATACTATCTGATCTCCTAACTGCAATTCCAACAGCTCTCCTGAATTTTGTGCTCCTGCACCAACTCCCAGCGACAGTTTCCAAAGCTCTCCTGGATTGCGCTTATGCAGCAACTCCCAACTTTGTGAAATCATCTATCTCCTGTGAATTTACGAAGAACACCACATTCTTCAACGACTGGAACTCCAGTCACCTTCCTTTGATCTTCAAAAACTCTGACAGATATGAAAGAAGCAGTAGTTTGCTATTTGGATTATGAAATTGATATTTTTCTCACCACCAAGAACAGATCACTATATGAATATTGAAGGTTGAAGAATAATTGATGAAGAGCATATGAAAAGCTAAGTATTTGCTTAATGATCAACCTTAAAAAAATCGTTCAATGGCGTTTGGTATTAATAGGTTAGGTTGAGGAATGAATGGGCTGGACAAAATGCCTTTAAAAAATGAATTAAAAAATTCCTAGATAGCACTGCCGTTCGAGCGAGCGATGAGCGATAGTCGAACGACAGGTTGTCGCTCGAGTGAAGGCGAGGCAACAGGCAGGTGACGCAGTTTCTATTTCTGATGCTTGAGCCAAACTTTGGCGATAATCTAGCGATATTTTGGCGCTATTTTTCCTTCTTTTCCATTCTCGAACCCTAAACATAATATAAGACAACTTTCTACTATTTGTACATTAATCTTTGACTTTTACAACATATCAATTTAAGTCCCTTTTATTCACAAACTTGTCAATTACATTAAATACCTAACAAGCTCCCCCTTTGACATTCTGTGAGAAAGCAACAATCTAAAGTAAGGCAGTAGTAAAAAAAATACATACTCAAAAATTGACACAATCAAAAATTGTCTTGATCGAACTCTGCTTTTCATATATCAAAACCTGTTTCCTAAAATAGACAACTCAAGTACTCAGTGTAAAATGTATGTAAAACAGTTAAGTGTAAACGCAATTCAAGCAATTAAATCAAGCAGTTCACAATGTAAAATTGATGTAAGCAGTTAATGGATCTTTTCTGTTTCATATCATGAGCTAAATTAAGACAAATATCAATGCAATTCAACATACCAAAACAAAACATTGATACTATAAAACATCAAAACTTAATTTAGTAATACAAAAATTTATCATTTAATCATATAATCAAAATGTTGGATACATCAATTCAAGAGTTAAGACCATATACAACCTCAAAAAAAACTCCATCAAAAATATATACAACTAACTACTCCCCCTTTTTTGTCATAAAATGACCTAGGGAACCTATCAACTAAGCAGCATCATCAGTATTCATCCCCTCATCCGATGCTCCACCACCATCCCAATGGCGATGACTCCATTGCAGCCCTCGCTGAAAATACCTAACAGTACCCCAAAGTGCAGTAAACTCGGTAGTGTGTCGATCAAATGTAGCTCGCAAATACGTAAGCTCTATCATCATCCGAGCCTGCTGCTCGATCAGTACGGTCATCTGTCCCATAAGAGAAATTGATGGATCAACGAGAACAGAGGAAAGATCGATAGGATGAGGAACAGACCCGGTGGGAGGAGGAGCGGAGGTCGGAGAAGATGGAATATCAGCTGGTGAAGAAGCAGAAGAAGAAGGATGAAAATTAGATGGATCAATATAAAGAAGGTCATCAATAGGATCAGCTAGCACAGTCGGATCAACTGGCTCAGATGAAGCATGTAACTGACTCTGGGAAATAGTAATGTGGCCAATCGGCCGAAAAACCCTCCTAGGAACCCCATCAGGAAAACTAACTCCCAAAGCTGTCCCCAACCTCGTCCTCGTGACTCTAATAGCCCGAAGAATCTACTCACAAATAAATGTGGGAAGATCAATAGAATCGCCATGCAGCAAAGTGTACAAAAATTGAGCCCTCTCCATAGGCAATGAAGAGGTATGCAACACAGGCCACAGGTTCATGCACACAATGCGCAATCAAATCTGGCGATTAGTAGGAAGAGATCCAGTGTGCACCACACCTAAACCACCCTCCAACAGTATATTAAACACCTTGCGATATCAACACAAACATCAACATCGACACATCATCAACCAACGAACCTAGTGTGATCAAGGTCAGGGAAGAAAAATAAACGAAATGACACGATGTGTAAATAAAATTGAACATTATATCGAAAATAGGGCGCGAATAATCTAAACAAAGAGTCCAACCACGTTGACATCAAAAACACCACCACAACCACACAACTATCACCCAACAACAACACCTAACCCAATCTCCGTCAACCATGAATCCGGAATCAACAAAACACCCAAAAAAAAAATGAACCAAAGCACTCCATGTGAGCTCAAACAAAAAAAAAAAAAGAAAGCAAATCACCCAAAATGATGAAATGTAAGATGGAACTACATGTAATTTATCCAAATATGAAGTGAAACTCAAGAAATTAAAGCAAGAATCAAAGAAACCCAAAGAAATGTGAAAACTTGAGAAATAAAGGTTTTTATTGGATAAATACCTTGAAAATTTGTTGAAAATGTGTGTAAATCTACCAAATGATGGATGCTATATGTTCAATTTGTGATTGAAATCACGAATTTGAGATGGGTGGTAACGATTGAAGAAAAAAATGGAGAGGAAAATGAAGAGATTCTGAAAATTTGGGAACAAGAACGTTATAATTCAAAAATGCGGATTGTCGCTCGAGCGAGGGTCAAGCTAGAAGCGAGTGAGGGAGCTTCTGCTTCTATCACTTGAGCGTCGCTTAAGGAAAAGCTAGCGAAAAACTGTTGACAAAAATAACACTGAATTTTTGAAAATAAAGAAAAATAGCACTTTTTTAAAATTATATCTATGATATAAAGATGAACTCAAAAACACATATGCTCACAAGTAATGCATTTATCAAGAAAAACAATTCCCCACGTGCTCAATTAAGTTGAAAAATGGAGTAAAGTGTAAAAGCGACTCACGTATATTAAGTGTCACTATGTTCTCGTGAATATGATTCCAAACTTTAAATTTGTGAAAAAGAACAACGAATATTACTGTCAAATAAGTATCTTCACTTACTAATTAAAGTCAAACTCATAAGATGATTAGGACATTAAAGTGAGCTCGATTCCACAGATATTTTCATTTTCTTCCCTTGAATATGAGCATAGAATTTTTTATGTCATTTTTCGCAAAAAATATTACATCTTATGTGCAGACTTTTGTACATTAAGCGACTAAATGGCTCATGTAACAAGTTTTAAGCCAGTTAACCCCAATCAATTGACCATAGGCACCAAATTATTAGAAATTCCCCGGGCTTAATTACTTGAGTCAAATAGGCTTCGAACACGAGTATAAGATGAACCAATAATTTTTTTTTTTGAATGGGGACAATTTATGAGCTTATATCATCGATATGAATGTCAATTCAAGTTCAAGGTCACTTTATCAACAGATGTCAACCATCCCAAATCACACAAATGCGGTCCAGACTCACTCACAAGATCATAGTGTGTGCAGTGCAGATAGTACATGAAGAATCATATACTCAATACTTCACCGTAAACCGAACCAAGTAATGGAAATAACAGTGTAGATTAGATGAATGCACGCTAGGTCCCACATGCAACACTTAAAAGCACCATGATATGTATAGGTAGGGGTGGGCATGGGTTGGGTTGGGTCAGTTTTTTCCCCAACCCAAACCCAACCCAACATGGTCGGTTTGGTATAATCTCAACCCAAACCAACCCAATCACGTATTTAAACCCAACTCAACCCAATCAAGTTCGGTCGGGTTGGGTTGGGTCGATCGGGTTGGTCAACTACATTTCTTCCAACTTAAAATACATCACTTTGTGTTAATATCACATACTAACTGTCTAATATATAAGGTTTTTTTAACAGCATTTTCTCTGTAGGCTTCAATAAAAGAACAATACTAACTACTACGGTCTGTGGATAGGGAAGACAAAGAAAGCAAACCTGGCCATTGGGTCCATCTTTCTCAGACAAGAAAAGCCAAATCCCCACTTCCACAACATAAATCCAACACATCATCTCCTTCTTTTGCCCTGTTTTACAAAAAATAAAGATTCAATCATTTTTCATAAATACAGCCCTATCAGCACTTCAACGATATGATGTTTTATTATTTATACAAAATGATCAGTTTTACTTTCGTGAAACAAAAAATTATTCATCCAAATGTTGAATGTTCTAAATAGAAAAGCCACAATAACGAATCCAAATCTGAGATCACCAATCTCTAAACCCAAACTCAATAAAACAAAACTCAATCTTTAACTACAAAAGACATAAATATGGGTTTACAAAACACAAGCACTACTAACGACAGTATAATCTATAAAAGTTTAGCTGCTTCTTTTTTCTTAATAGCATCAGTATTATCCCATCTAAAGTTAACAAAAAATAAAAACAAGAACAAAGTAAAGAACAAAGTTAATACCCAATCCAAGAAACCGCCATTCTTTTCCATATTCTGTGGTTTCCCAAGCTAAACAAATCATTCAACTACAAATGCGAAACAAAAATAACAATAAATTAAACTAGAAAACAATTTGTATAAATGAACAAAAAATTGGAAGATCAAACTAGAGAAAGAGTTATAAATCAAGAACATTTAGAAAGAGGTAAAGGGGCTCACATTATCATAGACATGAGCAATACGGTTAAAAAAACACCGGCGTTCAGCAGTTGTTGAGCATTGAATCGGTCCGTGTTTGAACCGGAAGACAGATCGACGATACAGACTGGTAATGGAAGGAAGACAGTGAAGGAGTGTAGTTGTGTGGGGAACCGAAAACCACGCTGCGCCGTCGACGATTTGAGCGGGAGCTGCAGGAGAATATGAGAATTTTTAGGGCTTCTTTTGGTTTTGGTCAGTGATGCTTTAGGAATGAAGAGAAGACAGAGTTTAGTAATTAGGCCTTTTTTTTAAAATGGGCGGGTCGGTTCGGGCGGGTTAAGTCGGGTTTTATGGTCTGACCCGTAAACCGACCCAACCCGACCCGCCTAAGCCAACCATAACCCGAACCCGCCTAAAAAAATGGAAAAAACCGACCCAGCCCAGTCAGGTTGGGTCGGTTCAGTCGATTTCATCGGGTTGGATTGGGTTTTGCCCACCCCTATGTATAGGAGCACGATAACATAATTTAACCATATTTTTTTAAAAACATAATTTAAACACACATTTCTTTTATAAAATAATTGCACACACCAAGCTCAAAACAAAAACACAAATATGTGGTAAGCGTGGAAGAATGAATGAACTCAATGAACTGCAAATGCATGCACCTAAGTATATGATCAAGGAGATACACAAATGTTCTTACCTTTAAGAGTATGATCAGACTCACGACCTTTCAGGTCACTCTTTTTAACCCAAACCTTCTTAGAAATAGAAGTGATCCTAGTTAACTGAGGCATCATCTCAATTAAATAGTTAACCTGATTAGCTAGAAAGTCAACATTGCTAGAGAAATTCTGACTTTTACTCCTAGTCACGAGTTTACGACACTTAGGTCTTGTGTGTCCCAGTGCACCACAATGATGACAAGTGGAAATAAACCTAGGTTCAAACCTACTCGAAGGTTGATGAACATAAATAGGATGATTGATCATATGTTGTCTAGTTGGTCTCGATCCAAAGATATATGTGCCCTTGGGTTCAAGATTAACAGCATTCCGAGCGTTGTTAGCGACTCGGACGAACATGGTCTTGGATGTACTAGCAGTAGTATCACCATTTCGAACGTAACCCAGACCATGCCTATTTATAGCAGGCTTGTTCATCCCTAACAGATTGTCGAGTTTCTGCGTACCACTCATGAACGAATGAAGTTGAGTATTAGATTTTTCAAGATCACTTGTTAAGAATTTAACTTAAACTTCTAAGTTCTCATTAACAAGTTTCAACTTATTTAGATTTTTGGTAGAGTCTTGAAGGTCACCTATGAGTTTTTCTCTTTCTCTTTCAAGTTCGTTTACCTTTTTCAGAACAGCTTTATTGACCTTTTTTATTTTAAGACTCTTTTCAAATAGTTCACGATAAGATTCGTGAATATCAGTCTCATTCTCAGACTTATCACTACATTCTTCAATCTCAACTTTATCACTTTCCTTATCAGATTTTATCGTAACTATAGATGTGAAGGTCATGAAATTTTGTTCATCTTCACCACCAGAGGTATCACTCTGAGCACTCGAATCAGCTTCATCATCGCTCAAGGTCATTGCTAAAGCCTTACGTCTTTCATTATTTGAACTCCTTTTCAAGGTCACTGCTAATGCCTTACGCTTTCCGTTATTCAAGTTCTTCTTTAAATTTGAACATTCATTCCTATAGTGACCAAAACCCTGACATTCATGACATCTACAAATTTGAACTTCATTTTTCCGTTGTTGAGGCTTCCTCATAATCTTCATCACTTTCTGAAATTTTTTAACAAAATAAGCTATTTCGTCGTCCCTAACATCAGTAGAGTCACTCTCTTCTTTTCTAACAGTGTTCATGGCTATGTATTTAATGTTTTTACGTTGAGAAACAGTGAGTTCATAGGTTTGAAGGGATCCTATGAATTCTTCTATCTTAAATACATCTAAGTCCTTACTTTCTTTAATAGCAGTGACTTTATGTCTAAACCTTTTAGGTAGGGATCTAAGGACTTTTCTAACGATCTTGGACTCGAGAATCTTTTCACATAGGTTAAAACTCGAATTAACTATGTCATTCAGCTTCACATAGAATTCATCGAACGATTCATCGTTCTTCATTCTAATTTCTTCAAACCTAGATGTTAACATTTGCAGTTTAGAATTTTTAACAATTTTAGTTCCCTCATGTGTAGTTTCCTAAACTCTTCAGCAGTCTCACACATCGAAACTCTCCTAAACTCTTCAGCAGATACAGCCATAAACAGGGCATGAATGCCCTTACTGTTCCAGTTACACTCAGCTAGATCATCTTTAGTCCAAAGTGAGATATCAGTGGGTGTAACTACACCAGCAATAGTAGTTGAAGGTGGAGTCCAACCAGTTTGAACGCTAATCCAAATACGTTCATCTAAAACTTTAAAGAAAGCTCTCATTCGAACTTTCCAATAAGCATAGTTGTTCCGTCGAAAAATGGAGGCACAGACAATGACTGACTCATCTAGAATTAATTAAGGGTTAGAAAACGAGAAAATCTCTGATAACAATTGAAAATATGAAGTTACACCTAGAATGAGTGAATATGTGTAAATGCGGAATTAATAAATTAGCAACAAGATTAATTGATTATCTCTAGATGATTATACAATCAGTTCAATTAACCTATGTTTGAATACCGCAAAATATAAAAACAATAAATAACGCACGGTATGATCACGGAGAAACCTGATTGGGTAAAAACTCCGGTCACTTTGTCAGTTAACAATCCACTATAAACGATTTATAACTTACAGTCTACCAGACTAAACGACAACACGTATTATCTGATCTCCTGACTACAATTCCAACAACTCTACTGGATTTTGTGCTCCTGCACTTACTCGCAACTGCAGTTTCCAAAGCTCTACTGAATTGCGCTTCTGCAGCAACTCACAACTTCGTGAAATCGTCTATCTCTTGTGAATTCAAGAAGAATGCCTCGCTCTTCAACGACTGGAACTCCAGTCACTTTCCCTTGATCTTCAGAAACTCTGACAAATATGAAGGAAACAGCAGTTTTGTATTTGGATTATGAAATTGATGTTTTTCTCACTGCCAAGAACATATTACTATGTAAATAATGAAGGTTGAAGAATAATTGATGAAGAGCATATGTTTGCTCAATGATCAACCTTAGAAAAACCATTCAATGGCGTTTGGTATTTATTGGTTAGGTTAAGGACTGAGTGGGCCGGATAAAAAACCTTTCAAAAACGAATTAAAAAATTCCTGGATAGTACTGTCGCTCAAGTGAGGGATGAGCGACAGTCGAGCGACAAGTTGTCACTCGAGCAAAGGCGAGGCGACAGGCAGGCGACGCAGTTTCTGTTTCTGACGCTTGAGCCAAACCTTGGAGATAAGCTAGCGACATTTCGGTGCCGTTTTTCCATCTTTTCCATTCTCGAACCCTAGATCTAATATAACACAACTTTCTACTATCTGCACATTACTCATTGACTTTTACAACATATCAATTTAAGTCCCTTTTGTTCACAGACTTGTCAATTACATTAAATACTTAACAACTTACTTTCGTAACCATTGATCCAACTTTAAGGTTGATTCTATCCCTTGCGAACTTTTCTTCAGCAAACGCTGCAATTCTTTTGTCAAACCTGCAACCGTGCAGCCAAAATAAAAAATGACTACACGAAAAAGATGGCAGGAGTTCGAACTACAAAACTATACAAATTAGACAAGCTATTGCGGAAATTCAAGAACCAATTAATATAACAAACAAGCTTTTATTGGTTTTTTCTTCTTTAAACCTATGCTGCAGTATAGACTAATTTAATGTAACAAACATCCCATAAGAGATAAATCATCAGACAAAACTATTGCTAAGAAAATAAAGTAGTTATAGAAGAAATAGAAGAGTCAAGTGTCCCTTACATGTTCAAGATATGATCACCAGCCTCTAGAAGTGTTATTTTACAAGCTCCTTCAAGATAGGATATAGTTTTGCTAAATCTTCAATCACAAAATCATGAAGGTCTGCTGCAAATTCCAAACCTGCTGGACCTCCTCCCACAACAACAAAATGAAGAATTATTTTCCTTTTGTCTTCACTTATGCTCGGAAGACTTGCTCTTTCGAAGCAGTCTAGCACACGTCTACGAATCCTTTGTTCATCGTCTACTTCCTATATAAATGTATATATATTTTTTAAAATTGTTAAATTGTTCTTCAGAAAGAGCAGCATGAGAAGGTAGTAAATGCATTGTCCAAGTGTGTTGGAACAATTTAAGTAAATAAACTTGACCCCATAGCTTAAAATTTTGAACGATATATTTCGACATAGTACCAGAGCAAGTAAATGTGCTCATGTCTCATAGCCACCATTACCATTTTGTGAAAATTGTGTGTTAGGCATTAATTGATGAAAAATGAATCTAACCAATACGTGAATAAACTTGTTGAAGGCAAATTCAAATATATGAACTTGTCCCTCTAATAATAGCTTAGAGCATGTTTGACCTAGCTTTAATCCCCCGTAAGGAGGCAGCTTTCTTGGACTTCTTTATACCCAAAAAGCCCAATGTTTTGCCTTTAAAGCAACCCAAACATGCTATATAAATCTCTTAGATAAGGTGGCTCAACAGCCAACAAAACTTGAGCCGAAGAGTCTCAAATAAGCCTATGATTGGTTCTAGGAATGTCTTGAGTTTAAGCTTGTCATTGCAGATAATATAACTAGAAAATACGTTCCTCCCGAGGTAAATATATGGGAAAGTTTAGCTTATTGAAATAAGTAGATCAGATAAACGACCTTAAGAAAGTGTGCATGCTCGACAACACCAGGGGTATTGAATGTATTAGCACGAGCACCCATGGCTATCACCAGATAATCATAGTTGACGGTAAATTATTCACCTCCTCCCAAATTGTTATCTTGGCTTGATCGACAGTAGACTTTCTTGTTTTCTGTATCGATTTTGTAGCATTCGGCTTCCTTGAATTGAGCATCATACATTTTCTGCCGAAGAGAAACAAGGTAAGAATTTGAACACCAAACATTTATCAAACAAATTCTTTGTTTGATGCTCGTCAACTATCTTCAACTTGTTTCATATCACCACCGAACTTTTATTTTTGTTTCGCTTTAGATTGTGAAATGGGAAAAATGTCGTGAACGTTAAGATATATATTGTCAACACAATTAATCAAACTAACTCATTAATGTTTTCGTTTGCCAAGCTAACGAGGACTAACAAACTTGACTGAAACAAAATTAAAGACAAAACATATATCTTTCTGACAATATTACGAATAGGTTCAACAATTAATGCTACGTACGTGCCATTGGTAACACCTGGTAACAAAGGAGTGAATGCAAAATAGTTCCTAGGAGACACAACTTGAACCTCGTAGAAGGGATCTTTCAATTTTTTAAGAAAGCTTGTCCCTGCCAACCAGTTCCAAGAACTGCCAATTTCTTCTTCTTAATATCAACTTGACCAGTATCAGCATATGCACCACGGAAAGGTTAGGCATCAGAGAATGCCACTAGGCCTCCGCCACTGCATAATTTAAAGTAATATTAATTAACGTGAGAATAATTAAATATCATCTTTATAATATACTTAATAGATACGTTATAATAGCGTGTAAATTCACCACTTTGCCATGTTCTATACTTTTATGATTTTAACCAATAACCCAAGTTGGCAACTAAAACAAAAATCATCCATAATAAACACCAACAAAATTCAACATGCATTTTCAACAATTTTTTAAGTTGCGAGATCACCCCAACATTAAATGAATAAGAAATTGATTAGCTATAAAATAAAAAATAATATCAAATGAACTATTATGCAAATGTATTTTCTAAATGGGATAATTGCAGCAGCGGTCCTATCCTTTTAACTTTTTGCAGATTTTACTCTAACATTCGCTTTGTCCCACTGCCTGCCACAGTTCCAAGCCTTTCAAAAATTCGCACTTGGGGTCCAAATGAATGGAAATCATTCATCTTGCCGTTAGTTGATCAAAAAAATCAAATTTTGATCGAAGTAAAAAGGGCAAAATGGTTCTTTTCATTTTTCAACATTAAATATTCAAATATAAACCCACCTTCCCACCCCCACCCCACCTAACCTAATCAAAACCAGAAAACCGTTCAGCCACCATCGCCACCACAATTCCCAAACAGTCTTTTGCAACTTTCAGAAAATGTTGTTGTAGATCTTTTGCAACGTTTTTTTACAGTCTTTTGCAACGTTTAAAAAACGTTTCGAAAAGCCTACGACAACATTTTTTAAACATTGCCATATTTTTCTACTCTAGGACAACACCTCGATTTACAACACACATCTAAATGTTGCCGTAGGCCTATGGCATCATTTTTTGAACGTTGTCGTTGGCTGTTTCTGTTGTAATGGTACTGGGGGATTTGGAGAGTGACATTTGAATCATGAGAGGTGAGGTGATTAAATGTTGGAATCATCTATCTATTAAAACCATGATTAGGTAGAGTGAGAGTGATACTTCTGTTAGGTGGAGACTCATTATCCATTTAAAGTGAGAGAAGTGAGGTAGTGATCGAGGATTATTCCATGGACTTTGGCTTTATTGTGGTTTACCAGTTAGATATGGGTTAGTGATAAGCTTAGAGAGCATGGTGGACGATGAAATGAGATATGTACTCTCGAGGTGTGAGCAACACGAAATGTGATATGATAAGTGTGGTGGGATTTTTTGTGGTATTTATGCATTTGTTGCACGTGTTCGCCATTTGATTGATTAACTTGATGTTAGTATGTTGTTCTTTGTGAATAAATTTGAAAAGATTTGTATGTTATCCTATGTTATATCTTCATCGCATGTTTATATGATCTTGATTGATTATTGTGATTATCTGCTTCAACTTTGGTATTTCTTGATCTTACGTCTAGTAAGTATATAGAGCAGATATAGTATGTGTTTCGAGTCTAAAATACGAGGTAAGTATGTGATGCCAATTTTATTTGGTTACCTTGATTAGGCAAGTATAAATTTGTGTTTTGTTTACTTGCATGTTGATTGGGTTTTAATGTGGAAATTTATTGGTTTGATACCCAATAAATCTGTGCGATAATTTAAAATAGATGTTGGATAATTTATCGACACCATAGTGCTTGACTCGACCCGAAAACAACCAATACACTTTTGGATGGCCCAAATTATTGAGTTGGATTTTGTTGTGGTGATATGGTAGCCAATTTATGCGATGGTATTTGGCCCATTTCCCAATTACTTAAGTGAAATAGTTGAAAGTCCTCCGAAGAACACTGTGCCTATCAGAAAGGCGAAGAATACAAAGTGATGGAATATAATAATGACTTGTTTGGTATGGTAACTTTTAGGGCATTGACATTAGTAAATATAGAAAAGAAATTAAAATTTTATCTACCAAATATGCAAGTATTTTGTTTCACGGGTTTTTCACATCCAAAGTCACAAGATCCGGGAAACTTTCCTCACCAAATTTGACCTTTTCAGCCCATGTTTGGCTCATCTAGACAAAAATGACCTATTGATCACAGTACTTAAAAATAGGTAAGTTTTGACAAACTTTGTTAGTCATAATTCTCAAAATAGAGAATTAACATAATCCACCAAATGAGTATAATCACTTAGAATTAGCAAAAGTTATGAGAATCACATATGCTCATGTCGAACAAACTTGCTAAAAAAAATATGGTACAACTCCTTGGTTGATTTTTTTGGGATCTCATCAATCATCGACATCAATTTCACTACACACCTTGCATCGAATTCAATACAATGTCCATGAGTAAACATGTGGCCCCTAGTAATAACATGTCATCTATCATAGTAACTAGCGACATGCCATGAGAATGTAAATATTCTACTTGCACCATTATCTTTCATAAAGAGAGACATATGATAGTTAACAGTTAGTTGAGCCTACTCCATCTTTCGCGTAAAATTTCTTGACATGATCAGGTGTCCACACTTGATCGGCTTGGTCTTCCATTCAAAGCCATGTACAATCCAAATTTGAATCAACACATTCTTAACTTGTACTTGTCACAAGCCAAAATTAATTTTTCCAACAACTTTCTCCACTTCACGGACATATCTTTTCTGTGTTCCAATACTCTAAACAACTTGATGCTCTGCTACTACTATTGGGAATTGAGAAAATTTACTGTCTATCAAAATTTTTCACTATATGGGAAAGTTTCCCTGCGAAGTTTCCTTACTTCTTAACAAAATATTACATTTGGCATATTTTTGATAACTTTCCCAACAATATGGATCTTACAAAACTTGTATTATTTCGAATTTACGTTTAGCCTAGGTTTGGTAGCCACTTTTTTAGAAAAACCTTGTTTTAAATAGTGAGTGTTTGGAGAATGTATGGTTAAAAAGTATGAAAAATTTTGACTTTATGTGTAGAATATTGTATTGTGTGAACGTGTGATTGAAAATGAACATGTAGATTTTTTTATTTTTTTCTTTTTAAAGAATGGAAGACAAACAGGCTTAATTTTCCTTCACTTAAATTTCATCGCAGTACGAATAAGACCTTCTTTTACATGGTCTTACCAGGGGAGTGTCCATTGTCCAATAGAAGACAACCTTAGACACGTAGTGTGAAAACACTGCTCTCTACAATGTGAATTAGAATTTGACTTCCTATTTTTTCTATAAAAATATGTGTGAACACAGACCGGGTTCAACGGGTTCATCCCGATTATCATGGTATAAATAATTGTTAAATAATGTTGTTTAGAAGTCCATGCATCATTATTGCATTTTAACTATGTGCTAACCTAGGTATTTAATATTTAAACATATTTATTATTATGGTTACATGAAAAAGACCTCTCTCTCTCTCTCTCTCTCTATGCTAAATTTACATGTATATTGAAGTTACACATGAGGGCAATAAAGAAATAGTAATACAAACTTCTTAAGGAAAAATAGTCGTAAATGAAGAAAAGGTCATAGTAGATTAATAGAGGTTAATTAACACAAAACATCTCTATCATTTGCACTTATTACGTATAAATAGTTCATATCATTTCAAATTTGGCATTTATAACCCTATTTCAACATTTTCTTGAGAAGTTGGTCATTTCTGTTAGTTCCTTCTAACAATTTGACATTCATTAATATAACACTAACACAATTAATTCATCTAAGAAATCTATTATTCTACGAACCCTCGAACCTTTTTGGTATCAACGATTCAAAAATTTGAATATCAAAAAATCATAGATCAATGAACCCTAATTCTTCTTTTGCATAAAACCTTAAAACTTCTTTCCATGAGTAATCTGGATTCGAGATTATTTGGGGTTAGAGTGAAGCTACAAAAAAACTACCAAAATAATAATAATAATAATAATAATAATAATAATAATAATAATAATAATAATAATAATAATAATAATAATAATAAATTGAAAATCGTAGACGGGTGCATTCCGCGTAATCCATATTCACTTGGGAGTTGGTGGCACATGGGATGACGTACGCAGTGATAATGCACGGTATGTCATCAATATATTATTTAAGAAATTTTTTTGACTAATTAATTTAAAAGGAACAAGCATTAAAATGTTTGTCACCAAGTTTTTATTTCATTATGTTAAATATCTAATAAATTAGAGAATAATACATTTGAAGTTTGGGTCACCAAGTCCTCAATCTATTATTTTGACAATTGCAGTCCTCAATATTTTATTTAAGTACTTGAAGTCAAGATTTAAAAGGGCTCAAAAGAGTAACTACCTTAAAGGACCTTAGGAAGAAAAAAAAGAAGGTATTAATTCTTTAGCTTCAAAGATTCAGCAGCTCTCTAAGAGAAGGAGCTAACTCATAGAACTCTAGCTCATGGAAGGATTCCCCCCTATCCCCCTTGGGGAGAAAGCTGTACGATATGATCGATAGGATTCTTACTCAATTTCTTTATTGAATTCGAATTCTTAATAGACAATGTTACTCTTATCTTAACTTTGAAAAATTGAATTGTCCTTAACATTAATTAAATGTGAAAGAAAAATAAAAAGAAAATTCATTGACGTTTGAGGCGACAGTTTGGGATGGGGGATTTGGAGTGGGGAGGGGTTCTAGATGAGTTTTTCTCTTCATTTTATTTTTATACTTTTTTTCGATTTGTCCATCTTTTTGTTTAAAGATAAGGGTTTGTCTCTTAACATAAAATAAAACCGGATTTAAATATTACAAAATGAAAGGTTTGGTTATGAGTTTTCCAAAATATTAGGTTGTCATCTACTTGCTATAGTTTCAATAAGTTGAGGACCCCATCTATAATTTTTCCAATTTATTACACGGGGGTCTGTAATTTCTGATCTCGAGAAAATTTTTCTAAACAATTTCTCTTCAATCTTTCCATAATGATTTAAGCATTATTCTTTATTTTATTTCAAGATTCAATGCATCATGTGCATGCTTCGTATAACTCCAAAACCCCCCACCATTTACTCCCCTATATAATTGATTGGCTAACATAAGCTGTAATCGACTAGAAAGAAACTACATACACAAATACACAGTAATGGAGTCTTGCGTCCCTTCAAGTACCATATCTACTGTTAGGAAAAGGCTACTCGAAGAGTTGACTCTGGGTCAGGAATCCACTAACATGCTTCGAGTTATGTTGTGTAAAACTCAGAAGGACAAAATGTGCATACCACAGCTATCTGCTCTAAGCCTGATGGACAAGATCTTGGATTCATTTGACAAGATTCTTTCATTAATTCTAAACGGTAATGAGTCGAATGATCTGGTCTCTACGAATGATCAGGTCTCTAATGTTCCAGTGATCGATTGGTCGCATTCTGATGGCCAGAAGTTGGAAGATTCCCGGAAGCGTACCAGCACTTCAGAGTCCTTAAAATTTTCGAAACGCAGGAGATCTTCGAAGACATGGACAAGAGAGACCATTGCTGCTTCGTTTGAAGATGGCCATGCATGGAGGAAATATGGACAAAAAGGTATCCACAAGGCCAAACATCCAAGGTAATAATGTTAGCATGGAGAAAACATTAATTTCATGCTTGTTTGTTAGTGTTTTTAAACTCTAGTTAGATTATTATCGATCTATGCCAAGGGCAGATCGAGGACTGACTAAAAGTTTTTTTTAAGTAGGGCTAATATGTAAGAAAAAAAAATCCAAATAATTTTTTTTTAACAAATAAAATAAATTTATACATCAAAAATTGAAATGGGCTCCCTAAACCGCTAGTGATCCAAGTACTGGTCCTACTATCACATTGTTCAATATATAAAAATGCATTTTAACTTCTCTCAAATATGTGACTGGACTCACTGCCAAATAAATGAACAATTATTTAAACTCTAGATGAATAACATTATTTTATTTAAAATGCTTATAAATCGTGAGTTCTAAGAAATATATCGATATTAAGTGAATAACAACTTGTGCCCTATGGAATATGAAAAGAATGTATGATCCTTAAAAAAAATTAACAATCGTTGAACATGTTAAGCGTTAACAATGAGACGTGACATGACATATTATATCCTAAATGTGTTCCAATGAGTCTTTAGATCTCGTGGATCTTAGGACTTCCTATTCGCGTTGAAAAAGCGTGAGCATAAATTTCTAAACATTTAACATATATAAGTTCGAACGGCGTGCAAGAAGACATGTTGAAAATAAAATGCTCTTCTACAACAACTTAACTTTTATATATTACATGTAATTTAAAGGGTTAACATTTTGTACGTGGAATATCTGCTCATTTTAGATTAATTACATGCAGGAGCTACTTCAGGTGCACCTACAAGTATGATCAAGGATGCCAAGCAAGAAAACTGGTCCAAAAAATTGAAGATGAGCCACCATTATATAGGACAACATACCAGGAGCACCACACTTGTAAGAAGAATTTATTTGAAGAATCTCACATTATTAGAGATAACACAGCAAAAGATTCTTCCATCATCTGGAGATTCGACTCGCATGAACCGAACTATAAACCTAATGACATGGTGATTCCAACATTGCCCATAATTCCACAGGAAAGTAAGGAAAATCTTCAAATTTTGCATCAAAACGAATCATCATCACCATCTGATTACTTCATATTGCCTGATCTGACGACATTTGAAAGTTTCGGGCAGTTCACTGATTTTTCATCAGCATTTGATCAAGGGCATTTGATTTCTTCTGATATGGATGTAGAACAGATGGTAGGATCCGTTTTTAATGATTTTCTTGAGTTATGGTAGACTGGATAGTCTATTTTATTCATTCCTTTTATGTAGTTGCTCAATATTTTCACTCGAATTTATACTTTTTCCTTCGATAAATCTGGTTGTATGAAAAAAGGAGGAGGAAATATTTTTTAGACGTTTTCAATGAATTTTTACAAATATTAACTCATCTTATAAGTTCACAAACAAATTGCAGACTGTTTCTAGCCCATCCAAGCTTAATACATGAAATTTTCAAAGTAAAATTACGAATATAAGGGTTGAAAATTCACCCCAAGTCACCTGCACAGTGCTGTCGGCCTACTTTGCCACTTTTCAGCAGAAAAATCAGAACTCCGTCTATACAACTCATTTTCATGCAAGGCCAATTTCTTTGTTTTTCTAGAATCTGGAATTTCAAACACCAAAATCTGAAGCCACAATCACAAGTTTTGCGCACCGGCTGGACATTTCGGAAACAAATTAAGCTTATGCAGTGAACTTTGAGATCATGTAGAATTTTGTGAGTATTTATGGAGGAAAAAAGTACATGAAATACTAACAAGGTTTTGTCCCTTAGAGAAGACGAAATTTACTTTAAAATCTTATACACTTTGATTTTCAAAAGATTTAATCGCACATTTTGATGAAAGAGAACAAAATCCAAAAGTCCAGAGCTAGGGTTTCAGTGAAACCCTAATTCATCATCATCTAAATCTCAAGTTCTGAAAGCACAAATTCTTAAGAATATTCCATCAATGTCCATAGAAGAATGTAAAACAGAATTTGAAAATATTGTTTGCAACGTAAACATAAACTTATTCACAGTAAATCTCTTATTTTACGGCCTTGGATTCTTTTTTTCCACCAACGATTTCGTCAATTCTCCTCGTGACCACCAAGACCCACGTAGTTCAATTACCTGAAATTTTTAATTGAAAGAGCGAGCACTAAAATTAAGTAAGACACGCAATAGTATTAGTATATACATTTGGCAGTAGCAATCCCACCTTCTTGACGAACTCAGGTAAGGGGAGTGTCCATAGTTTGTCAGCCTGGTCGAGATTAAAAAAAAAAAATAGTCAGAATTGGAAATTGACTTTATCATTTTTGCTATAAAATAGGCGTGACCGCTCTGTCTTGACCCCAAATTATGGACCATCTCGGGAATAATTTAGTATCATACTGCTGATGAAATCTCAATTAATTGTAAGTAGTTGATGGTAGGAACCAGTAGTAGATGCGCTCGGATATTCCAATTAAATTGTCACTGCCCTCGTCATTTGCCCACCTCAACAATTTATTCATAATATCACAACAGC